ACCGAGGAAGGGCAAATGAATTCCCGAGTAACGAGGGTGGTAACGAGAATAACGGCAGCACGACCCCAATTAAACTCGCATTTCAATTGAGCCATCCAATCAAGCTTCTCCTCTTCATCCACCCACAGTCGGTCCCACCTCTTTCCTCCTGGTACTGACGTATCTCGGGGTTGAGGGTTGTCGAATTATCCCGAGGACTTGGGCCTCTTATCTCACTCGACTTTTCCCACCATTGAGTACCCACGATCGACTATTTTTTTTTTAGGGACTCTTCACTGATTAAACCATTACACATAATTAAAAATTTCAAGGAAATTTTACAAATCCTCAGAATGTAAAATAAGTGATTATCAAATTGGTGTAGAATAAATGGAAAAATTGAGTGAATAAACTCATTGTTTTGTAAGAATTACTTCTGTAATTACTGGTAAGACTTGGAAAGAGGGAAAACTTTTGGAATTGGAAATGAAGAAACTTCAGGGTTGTTAATTTGATGATGATGAACCCTGCGACTTCTTGAAGTTGGTCGACAAATGAACTCCACTAAATTCTGAAGTTTTTTAATAATTCTCTCGACATAAAAATTTTAATATGATAAATATGTTATCCAAGGGGGCTAAAAATTGCGGAATGCGAGACAAACGTTGGACAATCAGGGACAAAATAAGGCAGTACAGAGGAATACTGAAATTGCACGGTAATTTCTCATGAATAAAATCTCGTGGTGGAGATACACTGAGAAAATGAATGTTTGTAGGACGTGAAAAAAAATTACGAGCAATTGATGGTGGTAGAGTACGGAAACGGACCTCGAGGGAGTTGAAAATTCTCAGTGGAGAAGTCAAGGAATATCGTGGTATTCTCAACGAGATTGAGAATGGCGACAAGAGAAGAATGCACACACTTTTCCAGGGACACAAGGACTTTCAGTTGGCGCATGAAAATCACAATCCAGGCGTAGGATTATTTTGTAGGGCCCTCACTCTACAATTCACTATCGATAAAGAATGAAAAATCTCATATTCCCTCTTTCCCCAGACCGTCGCCGATGCAGTTGACCAGGAAAATTGCCTCAAACGACGTCAATTGGACAAATTGTACTACGTCAAGCGAAAAAAAATGAAAGAGTTCTTTGATCACAAGGTTAATCATATTTTTCGTCGGGTCCATGTCTGAAAAGCATTTTTTTAATATACCGAAAAAACCTGAATTTTTTAACATGTGAAATGGAATCTCTGGAGGATTCTTAATTGACGAATCAGTTAATATTTTAACGTAATCCATTGAAATTCCAAGATGAATGAATTTTTAATCGTAATCGAGTTGAAACTCGTATAATTTTAACTTCAAAATAAAAGCCGAGGCTAAAATTATCGAATGAAAATAAAATCTGCAACTATTTCTGCACAACTGGATTAATATTGAATT